GGTTTCCAGGTATCCCTTGGTTCATCGGTTAAGGTTCTCGAATCAGAAAATGATTTTATTCATTTCTTTTTAATTCCCAGGAACTATCCCACAGTAAGTATGATTAGTCCATAAATGGTTGTTGAAGGAAAAGTAAGCCATCATTTTCTCACTTTAATACCTTCCCAAGTTGTTATTAAGTCAAGTTTGAACAATATCAGTTTAATCAAGTTAGTATGAAATAACAAAGTTGACCATATAAATGCCACTTGTATTATGCCCGTCATGTATCACGTATGGGGTAATGTGTATGAGTGTGCACATATATATCCATATACACGTATTACTATGTACACACATATATCTACCATATAATCTTGTAAATAATTATATAATACTCTATAAATATAAATATATTCGGGGCGCCTGGGTGGCGCAGTCGGTTAAGCGTCCGACTTCAGCCAGGTCACGATCTCGCGGTCCGTGAGTTCGAGCCCCGCGTCGGGCTCTGGGCTGATGGCTCGGAGCCTGGAGCCTGTTTCCGATTCTGTGTCTCCCTCTCTCTCTGCCCCTCCCCCGTTCATGCTCTGTCTCTCTCTGTCCCAAAAATAAATAAACATTGAAAAAAAAAATTAAAAAAAAAATTAAAAAAATATAAATATATTCATATTCCCATTTAATCCTTAGAACAATCCTTTATGGTAGGTTTATAATCCATATTACAGATAAACAGAGATGTATTTAGCATTATTCAAGAAGGAAGAGTCACATTCCATTGCATTCCTACTAAAATTTTAGTCCCAAGGCTTTTATAATTTAAATCTTATTTGATTAAATAACAGTTGAAATTAACTAATGATAGGTAGATTCTCAGGTTACTGACAGAGGGGGAAATATCTACAGAAGTATTCTTAATTCTTTGTAAAGCTATACTGCACAGACACGATAATGCTTTCCTTCCCAAGAGCCTCTACTGTCTCTATCATAGACAAATTACAAAGTTGATAATCATTTTTCTTGAAAAGCTATAAAGGTTGACATTCATAGCATAGTAGGTACTTGATAAATAGTCATCCTGATTTTTATCAATATTTCCTTTTCAGGATTTGAAATACAAATAGTAGGAACTTATTACTCCCATAAGAAACTGCTGGCCATGAAACGTTCAAAGGTCTTGCAAATAGAATTGTCATTTTTGTGTCTCAAATTATCTCACCTTTTTTTTTTTTTTTAAAGGTCAATAACCCTGACTGAATAATCTATTTGACATGAAACAAGTCTGGATTTCTGGCTCCCTTGCTTGGGATACTCTTCTTTTTAAAATCCCTGATTTAAGGGACACCTGGGTGGCCCAACTTCAGCTCAGGTTACGATCTCGCCATTCGTGAGTTCGAGCCCCGCATCAGGCTCTGTGCTGACAGCTCAGAGCCTGGAGCCTGCCTCAGATTCTGTGTCTCCCTCTCTCTGCCCCTCCCCGCCCCCACACTCTCTGTCTCTGTCTCTGAAAAATGAATAAACGTTAAAAAAAATTAGAAAAAATAAATAAAATAAAATCCCCAATTTAAGAATCTATTAACACCCATTCCACAAATATTTGTATGGCAAAATTCAAGTACCAGGAAATAGCATGATGCAAAATTAACAGAGCGGCATTATCAAGGAGCATATGACCAAAACAGCTGCAACTTGATGATTATTTGTCCCACTGCCCAGTTTCTGGAAGGGGAAATACAACAAAAACAAACTCTCTTACCCAAGCAGCTTCTGGGAGTGTTTAACCAGACTCTAAATGCATTGTAGGGATTTAGAAATATTCCAAATTATTTAAATGATTTGAAATGATGTCAGATAGCTCTCTTAGCAAGGTGTTTATTCCATCTTTGAATAACAAAATTATGAGAGAGGTGCTTCCAGTTTTGTGAATGTAATTTTTTTAGAAGAATTATTAGAATAAGAAGTAGGCTGTAAAAATCTTTTTCTCATTTCCATGCATGCTTAACTTATAAACAGAATTACCATATGACTTCTATTCTAAACTAGGACATGGGGTGAGTAAAAGGAGCACTATTAAAAATGATAATGTGTAGGGGCACCTGGGTGGCTCAGTCGGTTAAGCGTCCAGCTCCGGCACAGGTCATGATCTTGTAGTTTGTGGGTTCCAGCCCCGCGTCAAGCTCTATGCTGACAGCTCAGAGCCTGGGGCCTGCTTGGGATTCTGTCTCCTTCTCTCTCTCCCCCTCCCCAGCTTGCGTGCTCTCTCTGTCTCTCTCTCCCTCTGTCTCTCTGTCTCTCTCTCTCTCAGAAATAGTAAATTAATAAACTATTTTAAAAAATAAAAATAAAAATGATAACATGTGGAAACTAAGATTGTCTCATGAAAACCGGGACATGCAGTCACCTTATTCATAAATATACTTATATAATAAAGAGACAGAGATATCTAAACCGAAATCCACGAGACTGAAATATGATGAGCTTAAAAATTAATAAAGAGCTTTTAACATTTAAACAGACACAGGATTAGAAGTACAGATGTGGCTTTAATCGATACTGTAAATGCAAAGGTAAGAAAGACCTACATTTTTAAGCAGAGAAAACGTCCAGAAAAATCAAGGAATAGGAAGGGACGTTGCATCTGGTTTTGGAGAGGCAACTGTAAAATGGTGTTCAAGGTTAAAATGAGGCTATCTCAGAGGCACTTCCTAAATCTACAAGGCAGGATCATTTAAACTTCCTGTCGTACGCCTAAATAGGACGAAACATTCCATTTTCTTTTCTCCCAACTCTGTAGCAGTGTCCTTTCCCTTTCTTGTCACTATAAGAGGAAATGTCAAAAATTCCTGTTCTAAATATGAATCAAAGTGAAGTGGCTCGTGCATTTATTAAGAATGTAAGGCTTTCGTCTCCACAATATGGCCACTTTGTGTTTTCTCTTTTTCTCTCTCTCCCTCTCTTCCTCTCTCGGTCCCCCTGCCTGCCACCCTCCCTCCCTTTCTCTCCTTCTTTTGATTCGAAGCATGCCCGTCTGAAACCTGAGGTTCATCAGAAGCTTACTACTTCTGATTACTCGCAAAGGCTGTATCTTGCCGACCCCTTGGTTTAACCGGAAACGTCACGGCCCTGGGACTTGTTATAAAAGCACTTCTACCCACCCCATCTTCTTTCAGGTGAGTGTTGCCATAGCTCACCTCCTGCTATGGGAGGACAGAATGGCTGCCAGAGGATGTGGGAAACATGTGGCCCACGGTGTGTGCCACAAGTTTTAGCCCCTGCTTACTTCCTCCCTGTAATTCCCTCCAGAGCCTGACGGCGTGCTCAGCATACTCCTCCTGCTGCACTCCAACCCCCTCTCTTTATTCCCTGGAAATTCCCAGCACATCCCTTCCCACTCTTTCCTTAAATAATGACCCAATTTATTTATTTAAAGGCCTGCTTTCTCCCTACAAACTCTGTAGAGAAGATCTGCAATTAATTCCTGTACGGAGAAAACATAGTTTCTGTCTCATGACCAGAAAGACAGTTGACTTGTGAGGCTCTTGCTTGATGTGTGGTGATTTAAGGGAGAACACAACTCTGCCCCTTCTAGGAAATGCAATGAAAAAACTTGACCTCTTGAGCTAAGTCAGAAGGAGAATGTTTTTGGAGAAGACCTTCAGGCCCCTGGAACCAGGGAGGAGGAGTCTTAGTCTAGCCCAGGGGTGCCATTCTCCCCTTTCAAACCAAGAGTGCCAGTTGATAATTTGGCTAATGGTGTGCCTGAGAAAGGCTAGGCGGATTGGCTCCTTTCTCTAGAAAGTCATTAACCAATTATGAACAATGTGAGCATGAAAGAAGGTCACAACTATTTAATATTTTGTTATTATGCATTATAATATACATTTTATATATTATACATATTATATTATATTAATATAAAATATTTATTTATTATGATATATTATATATATTTACATATTTATTATTATTTATATATTTATATATTATATTATACATTTTTATATATTATACATTTTATATACTATATGTTTTTATATATTATAAGAATGCTATTTCAAAAAAACAAACAAACCTTGGTTCAGTTCCCTTCAGATCCTGTCCTGAAACCTGAATCAAGTGGTGTCTGATTTACCGTCATGAAAAATAAACACCTCTTTGCTTTGACATCTTCTTTAAGTTTCACTTGCCTTTATAGATTACCCGGAATGAGGAGAAAGTTAAATGGACACTAATGTCTGTGCTGGGGCACCCTACTGGGCCTGTGTTATGTGGGCAAGCATCGGTTGTCTTCTTCAATAGCCCAACAGACAAAGCCTGCAGCTCTGAACCGTCCAGAGCCTATTCGATTCACAAGCCTGTGTTAGGCACCCGTGTAAGCTGTTGTGCAGTTTGTGTGGCGTTAGAATCAGGGATCATTTGTTCCGGATTTTTCAGGCAAGTCCAGGCAGCAACAGCTCAATCAGCACCAGACTTTTCAAATTCAGAGCTAGGAACCTTAACGTGGTAAAGGCTAAATGGTGCCCGGGGAGGGCATCCTATAGTTTCCCTATGAGCCCACGTTCTTACTTTCCCTTCCTACTAAGGTATTCTATTTACCCCATGATTTTGTCCGTGTCTTGGCTGCAAGGCTGAGGCTCCCACTTCTGGTATAGTACGCTCTGTGATTCAAGAGAGTAGGTCTCTTTCTTGCCAAGACCACCTCAGAATATTGATTAGAGGAAAGATAAAAAATAGTCCTGGCTTTTGAAAATACAGTGCTTCTGTTTGAAAGGTTCCATTGAGCAGCAGGGAAGAGATTTTTTTTTTTTCAACGTTTATTTATTTTTGGGACAGAGAGAGACAGAGCATGAACGGGGGAGGGGCAGAGAGAGAGGGAGACACAGAATCGGAAACAGGCTCCAGGCTCCGAGCCGTCAGCCCAGAGCCCGACGCGGGGCTCGAACCCCCGGACCGCGAGATCGTGACCTGGCTGAAGTCGGACGCTTAACCGACTGCGCTACCCAGGCGGCCCGGGAAGAGATTTTTTTAAAAGCAAAGAAAAAAGCATCAGAAGGAGGCAGACACACTTATCTTTGAGTGAAAAACCTTTCTTCTCTGCCCCTGGTCTTTTCTTGTCTCTTCCTGTTTCTTTTACAGCCCACTCAGGTCCTCGCTCCCCTTCTCTTGGACCTCCACCCTCTTGACTCTCCTCTCACGGTTTCTTTCTCTTTTACCCTTACAATTGCCAACCATTAAAAGACAAGACGGGGGGCGCCTGGGTGGCGCAGTCGGTTAAGCGTCCGACTTCAGCCAGGTCACCATCTCGCGGTCCGTGAGTTCGAGCCCCGCGTCGGGCTCTGGGCTGATGGCTCGGAGCCTGGAGCCTGTTTCCGATTCTGTGTCTCCCTCTCTCTCTGCCCCTCGCCCGTTCATGCTCTGTCTCTCTCTGTCCCAAAAATAAATAAACGTTGAAAAAAAATTTAAAAAAAAAAAAAAAAAAAGACAAGACAGTCCACTTGTCCAAGGTTGTAAGCTGAAACAAATTGGTGGTGCCGATCAATGGTAATGATCACTACCATGGGCTAGTAATGGATCCTGCCAGCCTGGGAAGAACTTGCATATTCAAAGAGGGCACTTTTTGGATGAGGGGATGGGAGAAACAGATAAAGCAGATTAAGAGTATACTTATCACGATGAGCACTGAGAAACGTATAGAATTGTTGAATCATTATATTGTACACCTGACACTAATTTAACACTGCATGTTAATTAAACTTGAATAAAAAATGAATAACAGAAGCAATGAATGAACGAATGAATGAATGAGACACGTTTAGCCCTTCCAGAAGGGCCTATACCTTAAGTACGTTGCCTTAGTCAAACCTATCTGATCTATCTGGATCAACAATGTAAGGTTAAAGATGATTGGGTGGAAATAAGAGAAGGGTCCTAACCAGAGTGCAGACGTATTGATCCCATGATCTTGGCTCATTAATAGAAACCTCTAATGGCCCAAGTAACCTTCTAAGTTCACTGCACATACTAGGTTCTCCATAGGAAAACAAAACATCACTTTGATGTATGATGACTTATTACGATAATATATTACAGCAAATTCTAAACAGGAAAGAAACCACTTGCAATGTTGCCTCTCTGAAAACTTACTTTCGTCTATTCTTTTCCAATATTTTCCATATACACATTTTATACATTTGAAGCCACAGGGCACAAATTATTTTGTGCCCTGCTTTTTAAAAAAATATTAACCACGCTTCTAAGTTGGTAAGTAGTCTTCATACTTTTTAACAGTTGTATAATTCCATTGAATGAAACATTTATATAATTCACATAAACATTCCATTATTACAATACTGGACCTTTGAACTGTTTGGAATAGAACCCCGGCAAGTACGTTTGTGTGTATGATGTTTTCACATTGCAGATTATTCTTATAAAATATAGCCCCAGAAGAGGTATTAATATATCAAACGTGTCAACCATTTTACAACACATAATACATATTACCAAATTTCAAATCATAGCTTTTTTCCAAAAAAAAAAAATTTTTTTTTTGCATACTTTCTTCATGCAAAGCATTTTGGTGGACTTTGAAGCATAAATGAATGGATTTAAAATACAGTCTTTGCCCTGAAAATCAGACAGTCCAGTTGGGGAAGTAAGGCATACACATGTGAAACGAGAACTAACTGTATCAACTACAGAGATTCAGAGAAGAAAGAACAAGATCGTTTTCAGCAGGAGTAGCTGCAGAGTTAGGCTTTTGAGTCTTAGGACATTTGTAGGTTTGAATGATTTGAGATGGAAGAATATTAAGGCTGGTAAATAATATGATAAGAAAGAAAATTAAGCAGTCTAAGGAATTCCCTGTGACTCAAAGCACCATATGCATAATTTAACTCATTAGCCTGATACACATAGATTGCAAACTCTCCAAGGATAGTTTCACTACTAGTAATGGTTATTCACACTTGTCCTTGAAACTTTCTCTCCTCTTGTTACATTTGATATGGTACCTCTGAGGTTCATCTCCTCTGCCTCTAACCAGTCCTTCTTTCTCTCAAGTTCTTCCTCTAATAGCCGCTGCAAATAAAGCATTTCTCAAAGTTTTCTTCCAGCCCTTTTGTGCCTTTATATTCTTTCTGTAGGTCATATCACTTGATCTGTTGGCTCTAACTATAACTTCTTGCTTCCAACTCCCCAATCTCTCCAGCTCTCAATTGTCTTTTTTTGGTCTGATACATACCTTTCCACCTGCCACTGACAGCATTTGAAATCCACCATGTCCAAAAGTGGCCCCTTCCTGTGTTCTCCAGATCATTTGAAAGCACTGCAGTTCAGAAGAACGTTATCTTCTATGGTTCTTTCATCCTCATGGTTCACATTCAGTCAGGTTTCCAAATTTGTTCCAAGCTACACAGCGAATTCCAATTTCTTCCTATTGTAGGCCATCAAAGTCCCTCACTTAGACTATTGCAAGGATTCCTATCTGATCTGTTTGCCTCTAGCCTCATCCCCTTCAGTCTGCACTCCACACCATTACCAGGTGCCTTCTGAAAGCATTATGTCACCTGTCTACTCAAGGACTTCCAACAGATCTAATCAGTGGGCACAGTTGAATCCAAACACATTAATGTGTCTCCCCGATCCTTTATTCTTTGGATCCACTCTATTTCTCTAATTTCATCTCCCCATCCTACAACTGTCTACACACACACACACACACACACACACACACACAGCTTAGACTATTTAAAATTCAATGAAAACAGACATGGCTTTTCAATAAGCTGAATCTCCTGCAACTTCCTTAGAATTGAAGACTCTCACACACTCTTGTCTACTGAAATCTTATACAATCTTTTGGTCCAACCAACTATTATTATCACTTCGAAACACCTTCCTCGACTTCCATCTCCTCAATTTGATCTCCTGTACTCTAACTAACTAGCACAAAGTAATTTACATTTCTGTCTGTACAACTACAGTGTTCTCTTTCTGAAGGCCAAGTTAAGAAATTCAATAAATGCGGGTGTGTTTTCATTTTTATTCTCTCTGGTCAAAGGCTGAGCTTCCTCCTGCTACTTGATAAATGGCCAGTAGAAGATCACCGGCTACACCCAAAAGCCTTCAAGAAGATGTTCAATAGAATCTTCATCTAAAAGGTGTGGAGAGGAGGAGGGGCAGAAGGGAGAAAGAGCTGTGAGAAGTTACCCATGACTTTCCTCTCTAATCGGCCCTAGGCCGTATCTTCAAAATGAAAGCCAAGACCTCTAATCACTTGTCATGGTGGGTTCTTTAGCAATAATGTAGCATTGTAAATTCAAGTTCTTGTATTAGGCTCTTTTGTCCCCATTTAAGACCCTTGCTGAGTTTTAAAAGTGAGAGCTTTAAGTTCAGAAGACTCTCAGGCTCCAAGTGCTTCCCAATTGCTTCATGTGATGCTGACTGGTGTCCCAGCACACTGTGGGATGCCCGGGTCTCCAAATAAATCTGAGGTAGGATAGAGGGGAGAAAAAGGAAGGGAATTTGCAACTAACACTCCAACTTTATTTATCACTTACCCTGGGAAAGTCCTGAGCTAATAAAAAGAGCCAAGTTATTTAAAGAGCAGGAGCTAAACCATCAGAAACATAAACTAATGTTTCTAAATAAAAAAAGGGTGTGGAGCATGAGTCTTTTTTTTTTTTTTTAAAGTAGATGCCATATATTAAGAAAGCTGAGTTTTAAAATATATTTTTGAATGGACTCTACAGTTTGTTTATTAGGATTCGGGGTTATTCCCAAGACCCATTTCTGACTTCTGGGGTTCATGACATTAGGTGGCAGTTGTGTTTTTTCCATTTGCGTCGTAGAGCCAGGATAATGATAGTATCTGCTTTTGCCTGAAGTGAGATTGGTAAAAGAAACACATTAAAAATGAGGACAAATGGTCATGTCTCATTAAGCCCAGTTCTTCCTGCAATTCTTCAGGTTAAAATTCCCCGTTATTCAGTTTTATTTGTTCAAACACAACACATGTTGTTGGATTAAAGGGACGAGAATAAAATAACCAGTGAATAATAAAGGCGGTCTCTAAGGCTGACTACATTTAATAAACTAAAGGGAAAGAGAATGCTAAGAGACATAAAAGCAGCACCTGATGCTTTTCTTAAATCACCATATCAGCCAGTTATTCCAACCCGGTGCATGTATACCAACAGACCACAATCCCAAAGACAGAAGACTATACCCAGAGTGCCTCCTATTTTGAGTCTGTTGGTTGTATTTGCAAAGTTGAGTACAGAATCCACCATTTGCTAGCTCAGAAAAAGGAAAAAAATGAAAACATAGTCCCTTTTTCTTTTTGCACTGACAGCTTGGGAACTGACTGTTTATGATTCAGTAAATTAAGGCCTTGTGGACAAATGACAGAATTCGCTAATTCGGAATCTGATGAACGCACCTGCTAAATCCAGGCCTATATCTGTAGATAAATATCTGCTCTAATGCTATCCAGTTACCTGTAAATAAGAGCCACAACATGGAGTAGATCAAATCATCTCAAAATAATCATAAATCTTTTCTTTTCCTCAAGTATACTAAAGTATTATTATGCAGTTTGGAGCAGTACATGTATAGGCTGAGAGCCCTGGCCTTATAGGTCCACAGGCAAGGGTTCAAATCCTGGCTCGGCCAAGCCCTCACCGGCTCATGATTTCAAGAAGTTGACCTAATCACTTTGTACCTCAGCTTTCTCTCTTGGAAAATGAGGATGATAATATCTATGTTATGAGATTGTTATAAAAATTGAGAGAATGCCATAAATCATGCTAATCTTAGTGCCCGACACGCAATACATTCTCAATAAATGTGGGCTTTTTATAAAAATTATTATTAGTGAAGCTGAAAAATTGAACAGTCTAGACAGTGCTTTTAACATCATATACTACAGGAAATTCATAGAATAATCTAGTTCAAACACACACACACACACACACACACACACACACACAATGAAAATATTTTTCCCGGTGCTCAACTGTGTTTGGTATTTCTCTGATTCACTTCCATGGCCCATTCTGATGCCTACACAACCCTATAGCAAAGAACTCCCAGGAGAATCAGAAAATATCCTATATATTAGTGGGATTTTGTGTGAATGAACTCCATTAAATAGAATGGGCTTTGTGTAGAACCTTGTCAATTATTTTCCTTTATGATGGCTTTTCTAAATGGAGATTTACTAAAGGATTTGTGTAGTGACTTGACAAACTATAAACATTTTATTTCTAAATCTTTTTATGTCTTTGTAAAGGTCATGGGCTGGGGCTATGTAATTCTCTTTGCAGCACCACATCTAATTGGCTGCTTAGGAAATGCTTTTTGAGATGGTGAAGAGCTCTGTTTTTCATTAAGTGGCTTTGAACTTTGGCACTGCAAGTCCCGACTCTGGATTTACCCTTCACTTTACCACATAATTCAATTCAAACAGTAAAATGATTATCCTCTCTCTCTAGTACATGTGGGGGGAGAGGAAGGGGTTCCTCCTGTGCCTTCTGATGTATCTTTATCAAGCTAGTGCATTTTAATAAAAGGATTCCACTCTTCTCTAAACTTCCTTATTCCGACCCTTCTTTTAACGTTATGCTTCAGCACTATGTGGTGAAGCTAGGGGGGAAAAGGACCAGTGAGTCAAAAATGGGTTAGGAACATAATTCTCTACCATGCTGCAGAAAAGAAGAAAGTTGGCTAAAATCCAAAGGTCAAGTATATACAGACTTTCTTATGGGAAAGGAATTTCAAACCTGTTTAAAAATCTTCTGAAGTGAGTTTATAATCCCAGACTATCAAAATTAACCATCCAGTTGAATCATTCTGATATCTCTGTGAGTTATGTTACATTGATTAACCTTTCCAGGGTTATCTGTTATCAGATAAACACAGCAATATATTTTACATAAATACTTCTGAGCAAACTGGCAATGTGGAGCACAAGAAGTTTCACAGATGCCCTCTAAGACTGCCCAAGTTTTTTCAGACAGAAAAAGCAAATTAGCCACACGAATGCAGTTTTCAACACAATACTGTACAAGCTGAAACAAACATACCGTCTTCTTTCCTCACTTTTTATTTTTAACGCTTCTAAATTATGTTAGAACTTGAGGGCTTCCAGTTGAAGGTTGGCTGAGTAGGATGATAAATTCTGGGGGGGAAAAAAACTCTTAACAAAAATGCTTGTTGCGCTCCATAAAAAGTCACTTTCATTCCAGGATTTCATTCGTCAGAATGGTGAGGTACCCAATGTTATGGGGATTCTCAAGTCTATTTTATTTAAGACCCAGGAGCTTATTCTGCTCTGTAATGGAAAACATACAACTTTCTGTCACCCTTATTTTCTCGATAGTGTAAGGAAGAACAAAAGAATTGATCTCTAGGGCTCCTGTAACTTAGTATTATGTCAGCATATAATCAATTGTCCTCTATTAGCGTGGAGCCAATAATCATCGCATTGTAAATAT